GTCAAGTTTCTATAGACGCGGTGGCAGTGTCTCGAGAGGGGGTCCTGCGGCGGCGGCGGCGGGAGTGTGTTTGGTCCGGCGGCGGCTAACCAGAGCATCGGGTTCTTCGATACGGATCAAGTGGCGATGGGGTATGGGTACGCGGAGCAATGACCGGAGCAGGTAATGATTTGGTGTTGATTTTAGTTAGTGTTAGTCGTGATGATATGGAAAGGGGTGTAGTGAGGAGCGAGGGAATTAGGAGGAGCCGAGCTCTCCCTCCCTTTCTGTGATTTGTTGAGTTTCATCTGATGTTTGTGTGGGATTAGCGCATAAATTAATGTGTATGTTGTATGTTATTTTCTAGGGATTGATGTGAATGTTTTGTTTCATTCTTTCTCTCTCTCACTTATCTTCTTTGGTTGTTTATTCAATTAATTAGACACTGTCGTAGTGGATTTAGATGAGACACGGAAAATTATTAGGTGAAGTCGGTAGTATGGCTTGGATGAAGATAGTTCAGATGCAATCATGTCGTCATGGATTATATCATTTTATGTCGTCGTGAATGCGGCTCATTCAGACCGCCATAGTATGTTATTCCTCTTAATAAGTGAGAAAATATTATATCAATATGTCTAGACCTTTAACTATGATAATTATACACGTGAATTCACTAATGAATTAGATAGTTTCTGATTTTGTTTTATCTAAATTTTAAAAAAAATTGATTTATTATCAATTAACGTGCTTTTCTTTATCTGCTGAGTTTATTGGTCTAGGAAGCACAGTTATTAGTGCTCATTTTCCCGTACGGCTCTCGCATCAGCTCAGTCCCCAATCATTTGTATTAACCGGCTAATTATATTTTATGGGTAAAGAGTTAAGATAGGATTTTACAGGCTCATAAGTTTTTAATAGTTTCTGAATAAGCACATTCTTTTAATTTTAGTAGATAGCAACATTGGCTCTCACTGTTTTCATCATAAGAATATAAACACAGAGAAAATGAGAAATGGAGTTTCAATCAGCTACATGTCACATCGGTTTGGCCTGGGGACCATCTTCCATGGTGGCTAAATTTTTGTTTTCAGCTCTTGGCGAGAAATTATTTATTGTAGACGATGGTCCAAATGGGCTGTCAATGTGATCTCATCCTGCTTAATAATTTTTCATGCTCCAGAGAAAATTATCTTTTGATTGATATGAGATTTTTATAATTCTAGCAAAAACTTTCTGAAGAAAATTTGGAAAATGATTACGGGGAATAATATCATTTTGTTGCGGGAAAATAAATTCTTCTAAAATTAGTTTTAAATATTAAAATTACATAAAAAAGTTTTCAATTGAAAATTTTCTTATTAGTTATTTGGAAGTATATAATATTTCTCATAAATACTGTTATGAATATTATGCACAAAATCTCATGTACATCGCTATTTTCAACATTTTGAAAACACATTAACTGCCAAAACGTAGTTTACCCAAACAGATCTGGTGCGTTTTAAAAACTCCATCGTACCAAATAAGCTGCCACAAACAGACCCAAAGTTAATATCAATCAAGAAATAAGAAATACTTTTTTACACCCGTTTCATTTAATGGATATCCTAATAAAAATTTGAATATCTAATATGTCATAAAAAAATTCTTTCTTCCTTAATGTTGAATATTTTCAGTTAAAATCTTTTAATAAGATTTAGAGCTATTTAAACTCTTCTTTCTAATAAATTAGAATTTGAATTCACAAAAAATATCTAATATGTTTAAAATATTTAAGGATTATATACTCAACAGTACATGGAATGTTCCATGTATATTTGAAGAGGCCATTAAGTGGAGCTAATTTTTTCTATTGCTTTGATTTGACAATCGTTACCTCTTAATTACTAACGATAAGCACTAAAAATCATAAATATTTATTTTCATTCAACTGCCAGCATCTTATCTGTACTGTTAAAAACGTACACAATCAAGCAATTGTCATAGTACTCCACCTATTGACACTTTCCATCTTCATTGGCATGCCGTCAATGTGCACTAATGCTCCTTACTTCAACATCTTTACCATCCATCTAGACTTTTTAATCCCGTCCACTTTATTTAGTCCAGAGAAAAAAGTAAATTTTCATAGCCTTCTTCTTTTATATTTGCCCTTTTTAATGGGACAAGTCCCCAAACCTTTTAGCTTTCTAATTTTCTTTTATGAAAACTATTATATCTCTAAATGTTATATTATATAAATTAAACATATTCATTATATCTCTATAAATTAAAAATTAATATTATAATATCATTAAATGTAATAGTAATAGTTTTTTTCTTATTTTTAGCAAACTTATTACTGATTGTTAAATGAGTAATTTATCTGGATTTGATATTTTTTCTGAAGTGAATTTTTTGCTTCTGAAGTATCAAATATATGACTATGATAATTCTGTTACAAATATCATTATTACACAGAGGCAGAATGATAGTTTGTCTAGAAATAACTATCACACGACTACTTTCAAATCACAGAAAAAAAAATAATCAACAAGCTAATCTGCAGTAGCTACCGGGCAGCTTATAAATAAATTATAGCTGTCTCAAACAGTCTCTTATTTTTATCACATCAAAATTTTCTAACGTATCAATCAATCACATACATTTGATTTTTTTTATTTAAAATTTGGGGTAAAAAAAATTATTAGCTGCAAAAGAAAAAAAATCGAAACTGTTACTGTTCTTCACGCTCAAATTTTTTTTTTTCAAAAAAGAGAAAAATTCAAAAAAAAAAAAACAAGGGGGTTATGTATTTTCTTCGAACCAGCGTCACGTGATCACTGCTGCCTGCCACTCGCCGACGTCACTAAACACTTCTCTTCTTTCACGTGAGGGCCCATGCACACGCCAACGATCCGCATTTTCCTCAAAGAATGTGGAGCTCGAAGATGGAGAAAAACGTCATCTCAAGCGTCCAAGAAAGGCAACGGTAAATGCAAGAAAATTCCGACGCACTCAATTAAAGTTGTTAAAAAATAATAATTCGAAAGTCATTTTATATATAGCTAATTTCTATGTATTTATATTTGTAATATTATATATATATATATATATATATATATATATACATTTATATTACCTATTTTTTTCTTTATTACAAATAAAAAAATCGCTTTTTCATGTTTAAAATTTGAAATATTTTCTTTTGCGTAGATAAAGTGATGAATATATTTAAAATGTATATTTATATGTTATATAGTGGTTGAAGTTGTAGTCTTCTATCATGAGATTATGAGTAGCATTTTTTTTTTGGGTTCATATTTCCTAAAAAAGAATATATATGTAAGAAATAAAATTTAGGTGTAAAATGTTTAAATACACAAGAATTATGTGGTATGTAAATCTTGATAAAAATACAAGGGGTGGAAGGCAGGTTCAAGATTAATTACAGGATCAATTTTTTATCATATAAAATATAGATTTATTTTTTATTATTTTTTAGTGGCAATTAAATACTGACCACCCAAAGTTATTATTTACGAATCGACCTCCATCTCACTAAAATATCTAAATTATTTTATACGGACATCATATGCAGAGATGCATGCGCTGTCTAATCTTCATCATTAATCAGAGCTTTTATTAAAAATAAATAAATGGGCCCACGGAAATACAACTTTGGTCTTATCAACGGTGGAGATTGTACGGTGCATGCATCTCTGCATATGCCTTCCGTATAGAATAATTTTTCCATGGTAAAATCTCAACCCATAGTTTCCATTTTTATCAAATTCTAAATAGTTTAGTCGTGTAAAGCATAAAAACACAGATTCAATATATCAATAAAAAAATCATCTGGGTACATAATTTATAAATATCAATATTTAGGATGGCATATATGTAATTATCCCTATTTTTTAAAAATTTAACTAATATGATTTTATATTTTTTTTTAGCAAAAAAGCCTTATATTTATGACAAACTTTACGTTAAAAAATGTTCTGATATTAAAATTAAACTCCTTCAAAGGTCTTAAGAAAAAACTGTTGAGAGAGGTATCAATTGAAAAGGGGCTAGAGATTTAAAGAAGGAAAATAGGAAGCTATGAGAGACCCAACAGAGGTATCTGCGCCGCTAGAAAGTGTATTTAGCACGAGGTTGTCTCCTCTAGATAAAGCAACCAAATAATGGAGGTAAAACGAGTGAAAGAAGACTTTGGTGAGAGAGATTCTAAGCTAGCCCAGCATTTCTTTCTGTTTTCGGGATTGTTGAGAGAAGGCACAGTACTGCTGAAATAAATAAGAGTTACAGATAAATGTGTTGATCACTATTATATTTTGTTTATAGGAACAAATTTGCAAGTTTAATTTAAATCTTAATATAAAAATATTTTATACGAATAGATTGATGGATTTATTTCTCAAGAATGAGTGTAATTTTTTTATGAAAATATGATCGTAGGAGTGTGGGGAGATCAATTCTTGTAATGAAAGAAGTGCAAAGCGTACATAAAAAATGTGTTGGTGAGATCAATGATCTTGAATAAGGAAGCATGATGAAGAAAGTTCACTTGCGAAGAGATCACGAGAGTGATCTAGCCGGTTGAGCTGAGCCAATTGAGTAAAAAACTGATGAGTGGATGACCAACCAGTAACAACCGATCAACTGACCCAAAAACTCATGAGGAGAGCATCGATATCTCCAATTAATAGAAAATCAACTCTTTGCAGAAGTACATCCTGCATGAGGCCCACCCAACGAAATGATCGGTTCCACAAAGACCATCCAGTGGAAGGCAATAGACTTATTTTCAGAAATATTATCTCTGAGCCAGCTAAGCTTAGCTAACCGAGCTAACCTGATAGAGCCTTGCCGATCGAAATGATCGACCAAGCTCAATTGTTTGAGCTGATATGACTAAGCAAAAAAATGACTAGATGATAAGTTGACACTTATAAAATAACTAAAATTCCTAGTATAAACCCTTTCCAGTTAGGGGCAATGTAATATCACTATAGTATAAATTTTTCTATAAATAGATGTAGCATTTAATGAAGAGAGTTACATGACTTTTACTGCTCATTTAAAAAATAGTAACTTCGGTACATGATCTCTTCCTCTCTCCCACTACATTTCTATTATCCTCTCACACTCTATTCTTTAGGCAACACTCATAAATTATTTTGAATTCAATACCCTAAAAGATGTAGTCAGCATTAAAACATTCAAGAAATAAGAAGATGAGCAAATTAAGGAGAAGCACCTTATAATAAAGAGACCATCAACAACATAGAGTGCACTTAGGAAATCGTAGTCCAGTAAATTCACGATCTAAAGAATCAAATAATATAAATGATGAAAGGTGCGTTGACTCGGGATAGGGATCCACCACATCAACATGGTTCACCGACACCACATGATAGGAAAGTGTCCCCA